TCACGGGTCGCCACACACGGCCAACACGTGGGTGGATGTTTAGATACCAGAGAAAGTAACTGTAAATACAGAACCTTCCCAGGGAGGTCCCCTCACCACATACAGGAATCCACGTCGAGGGGCAAGAAAACGAATGGTTACTGTTTTCTTAAAGTAATCTTCCATGGAACTATATTATGCATTTGCATGTTGGGTTTGTTGTTAACTAACTCATGGCATGCTAACATTAATATTAGATTTGTTTGCAATATTACTGCTGTGCTTGAAGATACGATATGAATAATCATCCACGTTCACTTTCAGTGAAATCAGTGCTATACAGCATTGTTCTATTAGGGAAACACCAAAAACAATGTCTTGGTTTGGACCTTGCAAATTTACAGAAGCTTCTTTTCAATAGTAAAGGGAACATTGTAAAGCTGTTAAACAAAAAATGAATTCAAAGTATTCCAGTATTTCTTGATAAGCCATACCACCACTTTTCTTATCTTCAACAGCCCAATTGTCATTAAACATTTCAAAATTATCATCTCCATACACAATAACCTCACACATGAAGGAAGAATGGATGACATAAATAGAACCTTTCCTAACCTGCAATATTCTCAACCCAACATATAATGCACACATTTAGTAGTAGAAGATCTGATGAAGCTGCTCCAGGCTGGATGCATTTTGATACATTGCCTTTAATAGTTCACACTATAGATGAGGATTTAATCCAAATAGTTATTCATTTAACCCTCTCTGCACAGGCATCCTTTACTGGATGTCACAAGGTTTTTTAGTGACTTACAGTCAAAATTTAAATAAACTACTTTTTCTTTATATTATACCAATTAGTATAGTGTACAATCATAGCTAATAATCCATATTTTAATAGTATACAAGTTTTAAGTTGTTAATTTTATAAAGCAATATTAAGAAAAATAATGAATTTCCCCTAGTGTGAGAAATGTGACATTTTTTTTCTAGGTATGCCCTCTTCTCTATTCACCACCCCTCCAATAAGTATGAAATTCAATGTAAATTACTCACTATCAAATTGTCATCACTCAGACAAACCATAATTTTTAGTCTTCAATCTTGTTTGGCTATAGATATATCAAATAGAAAATCAGACCCCTCTTACCACACCCACCTGTCACATCCTCTCTTTCAGGATTTGTTAATAGTTCTCTCTTACATTTGATAATATATTATTTATAACCAATAAAATGCCAAGGTATTCATCAAATAGCATATTATATTACTTAACAGGTGATGATGACAAAACCTTGTCGAAACGTTGTACATTTGCTGTTATGTTAAACTTATATTAAAGTTTTTCTTCATTACCCATTCAAGCCGTCTCCAACCATTATTAGTCTCAAAGTGGGTTCCTCATCATTGAATTTGATTTAAGATGAATTCCTGTGCTTGTTCCAAGATATGTTAAGTTACTGTATCAACCTGCCAATATGCAAATTCTGATAGAATTGTTAGACACTCAAAAACCATTGAGATTTTTGGGATCCTAAGTTTAATTGAAAAAAAAACTTTTATTCCAAGTTACTTTGAAAAAGCAAATTTATTTTTTTCAGATTAAGTATAAAATAACAACAGTCTTTGTTTGTCTATCAATTCAAAAGTAATTCTTGTTAGATTTCTTTCATTACAAAAAACATCATTACAAATTAAATACCACAGAATATGCAGTGGAATTGATATTAAATCACTCTAGAGTTTATTTTCACATACATGATGACTGCAGCATTTCAGTCATGCTTAAAGACACTGAAAATTTCATAAAGTCAAGACTAAACAAGTACTCAGCGTACAGGAAAAAATTTTTGATATATAAATAAAACGAACAATGTGAATGAATTTCTCATGACAATATAAAGGTCATTACAATGAAGTGTACATCAGCAATGATACTTGAAACATTAGGTCCTCTAATTCTATTACTATTAATACAGTAAATTTAAACTAACAATATTTACCTTTACAGCATTTCCCAGACATCCTATCAGAAATGACCACAGCAAACCATCATCTTTCATACTTCTAATCAGCAATAATCCATCAACCAGCATATGCAAAACTTTACTGTGAAAATTTGCTCCTAAAAGAATACCAGTATTCTTGGTGATGGTTCATGACACTTGAAGGAAGCTTAGAGAAATGTACTCATTACATTAAAACTGTCCATTAATCTTGATTAATTAATTTCAAAAAATACTTAGTGTCTAATACAATGTCAAGTGTACTTTGTTCTAAATGACAAAATAACTGCAAACATTTTTTTATAACAACTATATATAGAGATGTTTATTTGGTTAGTTTCCCATCACAAAACTTATTTTCAATTTTTGTTTTAAACATAGTGTGTAATAAACCTACATTTTTTTATGTTTGAATTTCAAGGCATTTTATCAAATTTTAGTTTATTTATTTGCCCATCATTCTCATCCAAGAATAACTGGCTAACTGTTGTTAAGCTCAATCAATGAAATGTCAAAGAACCTATCTACCATTTTTTTCACCCAAGTTACCAATTCACTCATTGTACTTGACATATCTGATGATAACAGGTTAATCTCGTAAAACATTGTAACCAGAAAAATAATACTCTGATATACTGTCAGAGTAATCCTTCAATTTAAGTATAGCTTTCTTCTGTTGTAAAAAATACAATGTATTTAAAGGTATGTTATTTGTAAACAAGATATTTATTCTTATAATAATTATGGTTTGATGTACCTTTGTTTAACCATATATCAAATTCCACTCTCTCTGTGATTTGATATAAAAGTTGAACTAAAGTTTTCCATTCTTTGTTTGTGCTGTGTACCATAACCTGTTGATGAGAATAAAAGATTTTTGTTAGAAAATTGGCAATCTCAGATTTTTACTTTTTTTTTCAGTAAACAATTTTTTATTCAACCAGTAGTCAAGCGATTTCACTGAACTTATGAGCATCAGACTATTTCTTATTAGTAATAACTGAATATGTGATTATACTTAATGAACTATTTATGAGAGCTCATACATTTACATAAAATAAAGAGCTAATAGTTATTAAACATATAACAGCTACATTTTAATTTAACATCATTAGATTTAAAAGATTTTTGGCTAGTTATGAAGGCTTGAAAAACATGTTCTTATTATCATTAGGTTAAATAGTTTTTAAGTATTCAACAAAACAAAGCTTGCATTTCATGAATTTTTATATTTATCAAATTATCACACACATAATCTTTAATTTTACCTTTATGAGGTTTGCAATTAAAGTTGGATATTTTAGCCCTGCAGGAACTTCTAACAAATGTAAAGCAATTTCCTTTACAGTAACCTGGCTCAGCAGTGCACGTACCAGTAAGATCTCCATGGTGGATGGAATCTCTATATAAAACAAAAGTTCAGAACATCTTGAGGTAGAAACAACACAAGTTGTCAACAAAAAGAGTATGTAAACTGACAAACTTAACATTTCAGTGACAGTAATCTGTCCATATTTCTGAGAACTGTAACTTGTATGAATATGATGGTAAGTTATATAAATAAACATACTTGATCGATTCAAGTAGAAACATGATAGCTTATTTTAGATAGGAAAAACAATTCACCACAGCACTTTTCGCATCTTTTATAATTTTGCAAACAATTATGAGTCATCACATAATTTGTTTAATTTAAAAGTATGACAGAAAACTTGCCAACATCAGTACATGGTAGACTAGCAAAAAACTGGAAGTACAGGAACACTGCAGGATGAAAATTTCTGACTTTCCAAGCAATCCAAGTCTTACCTCTTTCTGTAAAATTGAAAAGTAAATAAGGCATTTTTTTTCTTTCTACAACTTAACATGTAATACAGATGTTACTGTAGTTAATGTTTATGGTTAAATAGATTGATAAATAAATTATATGGAAATAACCATGATGGTTCCCTAGCTATTTATTTTTATGTTTAATAAAATTACTGATGCACTATTTAAAATGTAAGAAAATTTTGAAAATATAGGGCTTCTTAATTGTCAATAAAGCCAGTTCTGGCCACTTTTTATTTCTCTTAAGTTAACTTATATTTATATTTAACTGTGGGGAATAAAATCTTTTTACAATAAACAACTTTTCAAACTGCCACGAAAACAGCTTTAAAACCTTATAGAAGTCCTTATTTTTGATCATGATATTTGATAATATTTACCATCAAAACACAGGTTTAAATGGGCAATTTAATTTTAAGATGCTAGAAACTATTTCATCTATATCAGTAATCCACAATGTTAAAAAGAAATACTTCATATGAAATGATGTTTACAAACTTCCACAACTGGTCTTAAATCTGACAGTTCAAGAGTCACAGTTATCATGTCTAACAGTATAGCTACAAATATTTTGACAAAGTAACACACGTTTCCAATCATTTTCGAAACATATTGGAATAAGTTATATTTTTTCAATTTTGTAATTAGTTGTTGCAAAATATCTAGAACAAGGATTATATATAAATATGGGTGAGTTAGTCAGTAAGTAAGCAAGCTAAAATAATTAATCAGATAGCTAGTCACAAAGAATGGAGGAAACAGATCACAAATAAATAGGTGTTTCAAGTATAACTTGAAATATGGCGAGGAATTGTAGACTAAAACCTATATGGAATGAGAACTCCTCCCAGAGGATACTAGAGAGAAGGAACTGTTAGTACTGTAGGAAATATGGCTATTATAACTGAGACTGTGAGGAAGCAACAGCTGTTATCAAGCCAAGGAGACAATGCTCTAAGGATGAGTCTTTGAACCTAACCAGATAAAAGAAACAAGAGAGATTAAACAGACATCAAAAAGAATGGAATGAGCTGGACTTTGGGGGCAAAGTTCAGTTGAGAATACACCATCTGTTCTGAACGAAGAAAGAAGTTCATTATTTGATGAAAATCATCCAGGAGTCAATGGGCTTATTGACGAAAAACCTTGCAATATGCTGATTGACAATGATTCTAAAGCTACAATTGTTCAACCACATCTATTAATGAAAGACAGAAAATTACCCCCAGAGATGAAAAAAGGAGGGAGTTGATGCAAACAGCAGGTGTGCAGAAAGTTCCAGTAAAAGGGAATATGGAAGTTAAACTTACTACAGGAAGCTTTTCTGTACCTCATGATGTGTGGATAATTGACATTGAGGAAGAGAGCACATTTGGAGATGATTTCATGTGGAGACATGGATGTGAGATTAGGCTGGCTTTTGATAGATTCACAGTCTATGAACATAAAATCCTTATGCAATACATGGCAATAACTATGTATGAGATTGAATTTCCAGTGGAAACAAGGACAGAGGTCATTGTATCACCAAAAAGTGTAATACCAGGACATTTTAAAAATAAATTCACATCTAGTATTTGGGCTGTAATAGAAATAAACACTTCAGTGTGTTCTGATGGATTAGTGGATGGTAGAGATCTCGCATTGACGTGGAAAATAGATGTAATACATGGTTCTATCCAGGAAAGACTTAAATCAGCTTGTGATAAAACAAATGTTAGTTATGATATAAATGCTGATAAAACTAGATTTCATAAAAGTGACATGGTATGGATTAACAGTTTTTGTTACAAAAGGGAACTAACTCCAACCTTAAGTAGGTGTTTGGAGGATAGGTAATACAAACCAAAGATCATCAACCATGATCGTCCTTAGAAGTACATCAGTAAGAGAATGGCCAACTGGGTAACTCCAGAGAAGAACTCGTCAGTGGAACCTTAACCTGCAGAGAAGTCTAGAGTTCCTAGTGAGAATACTTCCAGAGGGTCATCAAGGAAGGAGTTGCCAATGGATTCACAAACCCAAAAAAACTTAGCAAATACAGTTTAGTGTAATGTTTTAATTTTGTTTTTCAGGAGATTTCAAAGTTCAGGAAAGATAAAGTGTTATAAGCTATATTTTTTCATGTTGTAATATGTTTGTTAGCTTGAAGTCATAAGATGTTAAGATCAAGTAAGTTTGTGAGAGTAGACCTAAAAGATTCTAAATTGACATCACAAAAACCAAGAGGCCTTGCAAAATATCTAGAACAAGAATTAGATATAAATATGAGCGAGCAAGTCAACAAGTAAATAAGCTTTCACAGTGAATAAGTAAAGCATACTTGATAAAAGAGTTAGCACAAAAGATTACATATAAAGTGTAATAAACTTAAAATAAGACCTAAGACTCGTGCACTTTCGAATAGTCAACTAATAGAAAGTGCTCGAGTTTTGGGTCTTATTTTAAGTTTATTAAGTAAAGCATAGATAGAGTTAACTAGTCAGAGTGTTTTCTCTGTGTTTTTTCTTTCCATTACTCAATCAATCAGTTGTGAAGTTGTTTAAGTAAGTTTATTTCTCACATTAGTAGAGATATTTCCATTTGAGCATCATGTGTAAAGTTATATAGGTTTACAACATAAAAGTTACAAAGTGTACAAGCTGGTAAAGAAACATCAAAAATAAATTAAACTAATTTGTTATCATTACAAGGACTGTATCTTGAATTTTCACTAGGTAGGTTAAAAGAACCTACCAATGAAAGAAAACATCACAACAATATTTGTAGCATATACATATTCAATGCAATGTTAACAAAGGCGGTAATAGAAGTTCAAAATTTAGCAAAAGTGATTTCAAATGTAAATTAAAATAATGTCCATATCTAACAGAGTCCCTAGACAATTATTTTTCAAACATATTCAAAATATAGGCTAAAAATTATTAAACTACAAGCTGAAAAAAGATAAAAATGTAGTGTATTTTTTATCAATGTTTTGTCAAATGTCATATTATCAACATATAAACAAGTCAGCAGGACAAATATCAATTTTTAGTTGCATAGATATGTATTTATTTTAATGTCACACACTATACGATCATTCATTAAAAATATAATGTTTGTGGTTACTAACCTATATATGTGGCAATTTTATGATAAATATTAGTAAACTGCTAGTACCTACTCTCAGGATTTCAACATTTTCAGCTGAAAGAAATTTGAGAATAATTCCAAACTTATTCTAGAATATTTTTTATTAATTTCAAGAATTATTATAGTTTTTCTTGGAATTTCTAGCAATAATTTAGATTCACTTTGTAAATACAGCTAGTGAACATCACCTACCCCAATTTTTGGGCTACTTTTTTACCAAAGAAAAGTGGGATTGACTCACATTCTGACACCCTCACAGCTCAAAAGCTGAGCATGTTTGGTGACAAAATCTGAACCCGTGAGTCAAGTGCTCTAACTACCAGGCCATGCTAGACCCAGGAAGCACTGATAAATGAACACAAAGGTCTGGCTGCTGTAAAGTACTGCTTAAACACATCCAACTAATGCTAGTACACAGCAAATAAACATTTGGAGACAACTTGACTGGTTAATAAAGAAAACTTTATTATAAATGTATGATGTTTCAACAAGATTGTCATCCTCAGGTACAAGTAGTTTACAGACACATATGAATATATCAGTGGTGGGATTCAGCCGGTTCGCACGAACCTGTTCTTAGAATTTAATGA